AAAACAGCTCTTTTCAGAGCAAGCCGTTTTGTAGCATTTTCCTCTCTTCCGAGCTGCTCTCTGAGGGACTGTTTACTTTTACTTTAATTTACTTTAGACTGTTTAATTCATCGTGAAACTTGCTAATCAGCACATTATTAGGAAAGGCGATTTGCAAAGATTCATTAAAAAACCTTAAACTCACTTCTTCTGTAGGTGAAGCTGGATCACGAATGATTCGCGTGAACCTAGACGTATTTAGGTAGATCGGGGGCGCATTCCCTTCAAAAACAAACATAATCCACTGCGTCTTCAGCGGCTCAGATGTCGGGAGTAAATGACGACTGATATGTTCATTATTACATCCAACAAAACACCTCAATCGCTTAGGAGTCATTCTTGTCTACATCTGCTCCAGCGGTAAAACAATGGCGGACTGATGATAGCTCACTCAGGGCGGGTCTAAGGTAAGACACCAGTCCAGTCTGTGTTGAAACGCCATTGTCATTTAGACTATCATGGGAGGGGCCTGTTTTTGTGACGTCACACAGACAGGCATCTGCGATCGGCTCGATTTGAGAAAAGAGTAAAGATTTTAGAAGATTTAAAAAAAAAACACTGGGTGTTTTTTTATAATTTTAGGGTGGTTGTGTACACACACTGCCAACACACATTTCAGTTCAAACAACTTGTAAAAGTGCATGTAGCATCTGATGACCCCTTTAACAATGATGTTTCCAAAAGGGGTTTTTACAATGATGCCATAGAAGAACCATTCTGGGTTCCCCAAAAAAACCTTTCAGTGAACAGTTCTGAAAAGAACCATTTTTTTCTTAGTATGAAGAACATTTTAATAATCTAAAGAATTGTTTTCCACTATAAAGAACCTTTTGTGCAATGCAAACGTTCCATTGATGTTAAAGGTTCTTCAAAGAACCATAGATGTCAATAAAGAATCTTTTTTTAAGAGTATATCATAGAAGAAACATTTTGAGTTCCCCAAAGAACCTTACAGTGAACAGTTCTTTAAATAACCTTTTGTTTCCAAGTGTGAAGAACATATTAATACTCTAAGGAACCTTTTTCCACTACAAATTGCATTTGTGCAATGGAAAGTTTCCATGGATGGTAAAGGTTCTTCACGGAACCACAGATGCCAATTAAGAACCTTTATTTTGTTTTTGAAAATGGGAATCTCATCATCAGCACAACTCTCTTACCTTGTAGTTCCACATTCGGCTCTTTCTCCTAAAAAAGAGAGAGGAAAGAGGGAGGAGTCAGAAATGTCATTATTAGCATGATCTCATGCACTGGGTTCTCAAGCTCGGTCAGAGCATACTGAGGGCTATCGTGAGAGTGGCCAGCACTATTGAAGACGAGATGAATGGGTGAGCAGCCACACAGCGCTTAAGACAAAGAGGAGCACTGGTCACCGTAGAAACCTCGGAAAGGGCCCTGCGGGGTGTCAGACGGCCACAGAAGGGAACTAAAGGGGGCTAAATGAGTGAGTGTGTGTGTTTGTATTTGTGGGTATGAGGGTGAGTAAGAGTGGGTGTGCATCAAGGGATTCATTTCACACTGGTGACACTGAGCGATGTCTGTGACGGCTCACTAGGTTCTCTGTCCCAATGTCCAGTGCATTTAAAAGGGTTCCCTAGTATCTCCATGATACAAACAATGAAAAAATATACATGTCCACAAACCAAAAAACACAGGAAGGTCAAAAAGAAACAATATAACGCAAGAATGCTTCAACTACAAATTTTTTCAATTACAAATACAATAAATAATTAAACTAAAGTAACTTTTTTTTGTTTTCTAAACAAAATGTAAGCAGTGCTTCCCTGTGCAAAAGTCACCTCCACAATGTTAGAGTGTAGTTGTGTTGATGCTAGGGCGTTGCTAAGGTGTTTTAGCATGTTGCTATGCAGTTGCTAGGGTGCTCTGGGTGGCTTTCTCTATGACATTATAGTCCTAAGACAAGGCTAAGATTTCTCCTTTAATGTTGGTACAGGATTATTCTTCCAGTTTTAACTTGTAAAATCTGACTACTTTAAAAAGTAAAAGCACACCTCTGCCCTACAAGCTGCATGATTTGAGAATCATTCATGTCAACAAATTAATGATAATAGTGATTTTAAAGCTGCAGTCCGTAACTGGCGCTCTAACGGTTAATAAACAGAACCGCGTGCGTCTTGCGGAACAACATTGTAGCCAGAGCTACTTCTCTCTGTTTATGTCTATGGCGAATCACGCAGGTACTGGGCTACTCCGCAGCGGTCCCTACCTGAACCAGTCTAAATAGTCAGAATATAAACACTTATTATAGGTGTACCGTAGTGATTCAGGACAAGCCAAAAACACGGTTTGGAAAATGGATTCATGGTGTACTCGCTTATTATATAAATTGCGTAAATTTTTAACACAAAGAAGTTATGGACTGCAGCTTTAAGTACACACATTTTTTAAAAGCGTATAAAATTAATCCAATAAAAAAAAGATAACGTAATTGAAAAAGTGGGGAAAAAATTACAAATAAGTCCCCAAATTACACATCTCTAGAGCACCTGCCCATAAAGCAGACCAAGTTTTTCCAATTCTGAATCACCATGTAATGAGGTGGAACCACTAATGTTTCTACATGGGTACTTTAGGGATGTGAAGTGGGCCCTCAAATCATTTCATTTCACTAAATCTGCATATCAAATGGAGTTGTTCCCATGTGCCTTTGCTATGCCCTCTAAAAACTGAAAGGCTTTTGTCGTGCCAGCTGAGGAGTTGGAAAAAAGTCTCAAATCCTTTCCAATCACGTTTCTGGATAGTGGTTTGGGAAGATCTGGTTTACACAAAGAACATTTGCAAATCAAGACAGTTTATTCTTCTACATCACTCATTTAAATAAGCGTCAGCATTTAAGCCAGGTGTCTGGCACCGTGGCAACCGCTGATAACATTAATGAAGAGAATTAGATGTGCCGAGCTAATTGGCTTAATGGATCGAGGATCAATTAGGTGAAAAATGTAAAAACATGGGCGGTACCGGCAGCAACCATACGTGACAAACTCATGTATATGCACTAACGCACACACCTTGGCTAGACTCGAGTGTCTGGTTTTACTCAGCCGATGAGGTGAAGTGTAATTGAGCACAGTCTGGTGAGGGGACTGGTCAGCGATCATATACGTGGATGGCTGGACACAGCTGGGACATCCCACAGTGTGCCGTCATTAGATTATGAGCTGCTGCACAGGCAGCTGCCGAAATACCCCCACTGGTGCCACTAGCTGATTGATTGGGCGTAAACTGCTCATAACTAAAGTGACAAAAGGCCTTATGGGAGATGCGGCCATGAAAGCAGGGTCTTTATAATCATCTGACAACAAAAGGACTTATACTTAAAGAAATATTGAAGGTAATTTTCAACTATGTCTATGGACTGCATCTGTGTCCCTCAGTTGGTAAAAACAAGGAGTAAGCAGCATGTTCACACTAATACACGTAGAATGGCATATATTTATTTATATATTTTTTAAATCACTTATATTAATTCTTTATACCCCAAAACAGTTTCATAACTTGCCAGTCTTTATTAGATAACAACTTTCTTTAGGCATTTGCTTCAAAAAGTCCTTGACTACAACATTATTATTTGTCTGAAGAAAGTCTTTGGCATTATCTAGTAATTCTACAAAATCTAAAGTGTGGGACTTTTTTTCACAATATTAGCTGTGTCATATAATGCAAAAGTAACTGGGTTTATGTTTTAGCTAGTTGTGATATCAGTTGAAAGATTGGATAACTTTGCACAGAAGGGTTAGTAAGCAATCATACTTGCATTATGTTAAAACATGTAAAAGATTGTGTTATGGTCATATATTAAATGTTTAATCCCCATTTGTATTAACAGACTGAGGGATAGGCCAAAAATATTGTCTATGGTAATCCACTGTGTAATATAGATGTGGAACATACTGTAAACATTAGGCTGAAAATGACCTTCTATATTCCTTAAGGGTAGTTTAAAGCTTTTTTCTCAACAATAGATGACAGTGAAAATCTGGGATGTTTTTCTTAATTTAAATAAATTAAAATGATTATATATAATAAAATATATGAAACATACTGTATATACATTATATTACATATTTTATATATATATATATATATATATATATATATATATATATATATATAATAAAATATATACATTATATTACATAATATATATATATAAAAATTCCAGACTGTCATGGAAGAATGACATAAAATAAAGAAAATAGTATATTTTTATATCTTAAATAAGTCACTTGACCATATTAAAACATTGGTACAAATGAAGTTCACCATCAGCTCTACACAAACTTGTGTTCATGGTAGTTCTGCCAGCTTTAAATTACACAAGCAGACACAAAACAGAAGAATGTTCACTAATGGTCTTAACCTTTTGGTCCTCACTTCTGTATCTTGTCCAGTTAGTTTAGATACATTCATTATGCAAACTTTTTGAGTTCACTATGAAATTACAACTTTCAATTTTATATCCAACAGTGACCAAAGTTGGAATTAGATACCAGCGGCTTAGCTGACGCTGAGCATTTCCAGAGAGCGGAGAGAAACTTATTTAATAAACAGACAACTCACCTTCCCCCAGAGTCTGTTTCAGCAGGTCATGCTTGGCCTGCAGCTTAATGATGAGGTTACTGCCATTCAGGTACTCCTTGAATTTCTGCGACACAGATGAAGGCGTCAGTGAGCTAATGGTTTTAATAGGATGTGACTAAAACAGGGCAACAAAAAACAGATTTCGTTGTACTTTAGACGTCCGCAAATTCAATCTGTTCCAATAGGAGGATTTAATTTCCGTCTCATTGGTGAGGCATGGGCCTTGTCACGAATGCTTTATGAATCCACGTGTGATTACTGAGTTTGGACAGACAGATAGATAGTACAGGCCGAGTAGACTTTCATATCAGTCTTTGCAAAGACAATTCTGATGAGAACCATGTATTAAAAGATCTACTGATAGTCCAGAGATCCTGAAGACCCGGACTTCATCTTTATCTTAAAAAAAGTATTATAAATGGAAGGTATCAGGGTTTGCCATATTATGTCTAAAATAACCAATAATGAGTGTCAATCAAATAAAAACTGAATTAAACACACATGCCGATTACTCACAATTAATTGCATATATCACCATATGTCATATAAAACTGTCCATAATTGTGGTCCCAGTGCTTATGGCCTGAGAAAATAAGACAACTCACAGTGAAGTAGAAGACTTCTGTCTCCTGTTGATTGGCTCGTCTCTTAGCAATGTTTAACTTGCTCATGTAACTCTCGGAAGTCACGGATTTGATGGACTCCGTGGATCGGCTGTGCTGGAAGGCATCTGATACATCAAAGTCCTCCACTGTCAGCATGTCTTGTAAGGTCTGCATGGTGGCATCCAGGGTCTTGCGCACCTAATTAAACATAGCAGGGACTCAGTAAGGTGAAAGAGAGATGAGTATCAACTTAGGGAATATAAGTTATGTAAGATTTACACTACCGTTCAAAGTTTGGGGTCAGTAAGATTTAAAGAAATTAAAGAAATTCATACTTTTATTCAGCAAGGATACATTAAATTGATCAAAAGTGACAGTAAAGAATGAATGTTCTTTTGAAATGTCTATTTTTTTTTAAGAATTCTGAAAAGAAGTATCTTGGTTTCCACAACCATTTTAAACAGCATAGCAGTTGTCAACATAGATACTAAAAAGAAATGCTACTTGAGCACCAAATCAGCATATTAGAATGATTTTGGAATGATCATGTGACACTGAAGACTGGAGTAATGGCTGCTAAAAATCCAGCTTTTTCATTACATAATTGAATTACATTTTAAAATATATGAAAATATAAAACAGTTATTTTAAATTGTAATATTATTTCACAGTATTACCGTTTTTACTGTTTTTGATGGTGAGCATAAAATACTTCTTTAAAAAACAAGTCTTACCGACCCAAAACTTTTCAATAGTAGTGTATATTTCTGGACATCTGACAGTAACGCAACTTAAATGGATATGGGGATTTGTAGAAATTGTGAGAATTACTTAAAGCATCAGTTAGTATGTTTAAAATTACACCCAAATCAGTAATGATTCACACCAAATGCCATCCAGCATAAGTGTATTCATGAATTTGTAGCAGTCATGGAGTAATACATGGACATCTAAAAAATTTAAAGTGAATTATGACTTTCTGAATTTCTTATTTAGAATAAGAAAGGAAGTCACATTGTGAGATATAAAGCCAGATTGTGAGATGCAACTCGCTATTTGTTTCCTGAGGTGAAAACTGGCTTTCATAATTATATTACATATTTCTGTTGTATATATACAAAATATTGTTATAATATAAAACATATCTATTTTCTAACACACACACACAAAAATTTTGGCAAAATTGATATGTCTCATATTGTTGTCATATAATGTTAGCAGGGAAAGGAAAATAATAAATACTTGCCCGACATAATCAAAAAATATTTATTGTTAAACCCTGGAATATATTGTGGGCACTTTTATAATACTTTCAAAATACAATTTTCAGTGCACACTGTAGTCAAAAAAAAGTGCTTATTGTTTGCAATAACAGGTACATGCCTCTGTGATATATTCAAACCCACAATACGAGCTTAAGAATATTGAAAGACTCAAAATAAAATGGATTAAACTTTCAAATAAAAGTATTTGTGTAGTACACTAGTTCAGAAAACATCACTGGAAGAAAAAAAGAGTGTAAAATGAGCTTTAACTTTGTCTGCACTTGCATCTATGTGTCACTATGACTCATATATGCCCACAGTCTTAAATGTGTTGCTGCTTACTTGAATGCTTATGCAGGTAGAGTTATTAAAACCTCAAAACTGAGCAATGAAGCAAAGATCTGAACCTATTTTGAAGACAACCAATGCAGCCAAACCACAAGTGACATTTGTATATATACTGTAGTGCTGTATGCAGCTCTGAAAATTCCTAAACCTCTATACATTTGACTCGGAGACCAAAGATCACTCACACCAGTGTATGAAATCAAGGATCGTCTGAATGCTGTAGTGAATGGTGTGTAAATTGGCCCCAGGCCCTCACAGATTAATGTGGCGCATTTCCTATATGACATAAAATCATCAGTTACTAGCTGGTTATGAGACACAAAGTGATAAGGGCAAGATGAAATGATCAATACACACAGACAGGAGCTATTACAAAGTCCATTAGCACCTGCATACACTTAGTTGGTTGGTAATGTGGTTGTGTTTGGCTCTCCCAATACAAAGAATTACCCCCACCGAAGACCAAACATGGAGATAACCGTTCCATTCCAAAAGAAACGCACCATTAACAGATGAGAATGCTAAAAATACACTCTCAGTTCCCAGGAAAGATTGCAACGAGTTTGAGTGCTAGGCTCAAGTATATTCTCTGGAGTGCTTTAAAAATGGTTCAAAAAAATATGTGAGTAAAGCCAAGGGCTCTTTGAGTGCTAAAGACTCATGTGAGAGAGGCAGTTGGGCTCTCTGCAGAGTGATGACTCACACTAAAGAAGCTGAGGAATCTTTACACTGAGCAGGTGTAATAAAACGGAACAGTTTGCAAAACATGTGGTTGCAACAGCGGGATCTGTATAGCATACAGATCTGATGTTAAAGTCAACAGGAAACAGAGTTCACAACCTATTTTACTTCTATAATATGATGTCAGTTGCTTGAACCAGATGGACTGAAAAATATAGGAAGGCTTGGTGACATCAGCCCAAAAGGATTTTTTTTTGTTCAGTGTGGCTGCCTGGTGCCATATCGGTAAAGTTACCTTACCGTAACTTTGTTTCTCAGCACACTGATAAAGACCTGTACACTCTGACTTTTTGGAAATAGGATAAAACCAGTCAATCAGATTGAAGCTAGCGATTGTTTTAGTATGCAATATGAATCAAAGGTCTTTGGATGTGGCGTCTGAGGCTGAGACTAAATAATTATTACTGAGAGGTGGATACCATGATAATGTCCATGATAAAATGTTGCATGTAATAACTGTGATCATTCTTACCTCCTCATTCTCAATCTTGAGCGTGGCCAAGCGGGACTGCAGCTGGTGGTAACGCATCAGAAGTTCAGTCTGGACGGGCTGCTGAGCGCTCACCTGGCACACCTGAGATGCACAAAAACAAAACAAATTTATCTCTGTCATAATCGGTGTTGGGGAAAGTTACTTTTAAAAGTAAATACCATATTGTGTTACTCCATAAAAAGTAACTAATTGCATTACTTAGTTCCTTTCCATATGTTTATGGAAACTAATGCATTACGTTACTTTTGTTACTTTTTGTAACCTGAGCTGGATTTGCTTATTTATTTTTAATAACAAAAAACCCCAAAGTTATATTCTTGGCAACTGTAAAGTAGAGATTGACCGATATATCGATTTACCAATATTTTCCCGATATTTAAGCATTTTACAATAATTGGATATCGGTTTTGTAATATCGGATTCACCGATAAACGCCGCCATCTTGTGGATGTTTTGAGAATTGCGTGCAAGAGCAACATTGCAGAGCGTTTGAGGGGAAACAAGGCAACAACAACGGTGTGCACAGGTACTTGATTTACTGTAGTTAGTAAACTTTATTTAACATAACAGCCATTAATGCACAAATTAGATTACATAAATGCAGTTTATGCAGCTTGGCTTGAAGAAATAGAGATGAACTCACGGAGTCACGTAAGATAATCTATCAAATCCTGTCCCAATAAAGACGTAACTTTGCGTGAATTAAATAATATGCAGCCATGAATGGGCGCATGTTGGAAATAAAAGTGCTGAATTTAATTTGCTCTGTTGTCTATAGCCTATGCTCATCGTCTCATGAAGTGGGAGTCACGTAAAATAATCCGTCAAGTCCTCTCCCAATAAAGACGTTACTTTGCATGAGTTAAATAATACAGCGCATGTTGGAAATAAAAGCGCTCAATTTAATTCTGTCTGTTGTCTATGCTCATCATTAGTCTCGTGAAGCCGCTTTCATACTGTATATATATATATATAAATATTCTTGACTCTGTAGCTATTAAACAGCTTATAAACCTACTAAAACTGTAGTTTAAAATGAAGTTGATATGACTGATTTTCTTTATTTATTTTCTCCATTTGAAAACATTAGACCTTCTACATTTATTTTGCTTATTGTTAATACTAGTGTTGCTGCTGATGCTTTAAATAAAATGTTTTTTTATTGTTGTAATATGAAGATTAAATTTAACATGAAAGACTGCTAATTTTCAACACTTTTTTTTAAGATGACTGAAAGGAGAAAAAACCAAAGTGAAGCATGCACTTACTTCACTCAGTCATTTATTTACTTTATAACAGTAAATAAATATCGGTTCTGCATATCGGTTATCGGGCACATAAACATGCAAATAATTGGTATCATATCGGTTATAAAATATCAATATCGGTCGATCACTACTGTAAAGGCCCTTTCACACCAAAAGGGTGAAGGAAGTGCCTCTGCACCTCACTCCCATTTTCTTCTTAACACAGGGAACAAAAGAGATGCCACTGAATAAATGGGAATACAAAGTAACTTGCGTTATTTATATGAAAAAGTAACTCAGATATTTTCTTGTAAATGTCAAAGTAATGCGTTACTTTACTAGTTACTTGGGAAAAAAGTAATCTGATTACATAACTCACGTTACTTGTAATGCGTTACCCCCAACGCTGGTCATGGTTTTTTTTTTTATATCTTGACATCTCTTAGATTTTCAATAAACATTTAGTATATTATTATTCTTGAAAGGACAGTTCAGTGAAAAATTTATATTCTGTCATTGCTTCCCCTCATGTCTTTCCAAACCCAATAATTACGTAAATTTAGTTTTTTTACACAAAGCTAATGTATAACTTGCAATATAAGTGATATAGACCACTTCAATTGAACTTTTACGGTATTTTTGGATTATATTTCATTATATTGAAACTTTTGTGTTCCACATGAGAAAGTCATACAGTTTGGAGGGACTTGAGGTTGAGTAAATAATAACAGGATTTCATTTTTGAGTGAACTGTTCCATTAATAAGATATTATTAGGTAAGTTGAAGGCTTGATACCTCATCTCCCATGTGCGGCAGAAACTCAAAGCGCATGGGCGGGCAAAAGACCTGATTGTACATGTCCATGATTTTGTGCTTGTCACTGCGAGGGTCCAGGTTGTCCACAGCATTTTCAATGATGTCCAGACCCTCATGGCGAGAGGTCTCCAGGTTATACTCAGCAGACAGATACGTCCTTAATGTGCGCGCCAAGCTAGCATGATATCCGAGGTCACAGCACTGTGGAAAGAAGAAAAATGAAGGATGAGAGATAAAATATTTCACAGCAAGCCTGAATGACATTTAGATGAACAACAATCCAATCTTTCTTCCAGCAAAGACAGTATAAATGAAATTTTATTTGCCAAAATGTTTCCATGGTGATGCCTATTTTTAGCAGTCATGAGATTTCACATTTCACTCTAACAGGACGAACTGCAAGTCAGGTAGCATCTCCTGTATCTCCATGGATCGTAGTGTCATTAAAATGACATGATCTAAATGAGTGAATTTTCTCCTACAGAGAATCGAGACCGTCAGTATCTATAATTAGAAGAACAGGCACAGTGGGATATCCTAGCTAATTAGTTTAAACTTGCAACAAATGTACGACTAACCTCTTTTAGCAATGTGGAGCAAGTTTAAATTAGCTTTAGGGAAACTTTAAACCTCTATGAGTCATTGTGATTAGGCAGTTATCGCTCTATTGGACTGTAAATCCATATATTATGCTTTAAAGGGTTTGAGTGCAAACACTAGACAGTCATTGCCTGTGGCACAATCTATTTAGCATTACAAAGCCACAGGAGAGGAGGTGTACGTTGGTGAAAATGTAGCACAGTAATATCACCAAGTTTAGATTCTGTATTTACACATTCTTGGCCCAATAACAGCACTGGTTCACATTCTCTGCATTTTCTATTAATCGTAGATCATTAGAAGTAAATCCATACTATTTGAAATGATTTACTGTGTTCGTCAGTAATACTGAAACCAGTATTTGCCCTAAGACAAACATATTTCAATCTAAAACAGAAAACCATTGCTTAACTTCTACTGTGTATTGGGGTTAGCAAGGGTTGCCATGACCGAATTTTTTTAATAAACCTGTTTACCTTCGGTTCACTGTCAGTCTCTCTGAAAACAAAAAAAAACAAAAACATGACAGACCCGCCCTACTTCTGACCATGCACTCTTAAATGTAAAAGGTTTACCTTTGTATGTCTGGAGATGTATTTTTCTGTGTCTATCTTAGAGAATTATTTTTCACTGATTGGGTTGTAGATTTGGAAATGACAAAAAAGGGATGTTCAAAAGCAAAAAAACTAAACAAAACCATACCAAACAAAAACACAGAACCAAACAAATGTAAGCAATTAACAAACAAATAAATACATACAATTTCTTACTTCTGTTGTACACAAAAGGAGACTTTTTTTTGGTCCAATGAAAGTCAGTGGGGTTTAATGTAGTTTTGGACCCAATGACCTAAAATATATTCTCTGTGTTCACCAAAGAAACAAAATGATGGCAGGGTAAGTGATGATAAATCATAACAGAACTAATTTGGGGTGAACTATCCCTTTATACAGAGTAAATGTAAAGCCCTCCTGGTTTCTTTAAAGCACCAGTACCATGGGTTGTGGCACTTCTAATTTTTTGGAACAGCTAGCAAACTGTAATTTCTGGTACAAGGTAACTTGGCATCTTCACCACGGCAGGCCACAAGTACCACATGAATTTCTATATACCCAATGGTGGGTGTGGGAGTTTTTAGTGAGTTTTGGCTTGGTGGTTTCTACCAATTAGTGGTTTATAGGTAAACCTATGTCAACAACCTAACTGAGAGCCCTTTACAGAGTTCTTCCAACTTTAACCTAACTGTCTTAGGGATTTACATCTGTTTCTATATAAAATAAACAGTATAGAACAGTATAATAACAGTATAGAAAAAGCCTAAAGGTTTATTGTCTGCTAAGTTTTCCTAACAAAACGGTTACTACAAATATTTGCAACCAATATGTGACTGCAGTAGTTTGCATAGAGCAATAAACCTTGGCTTAAAAGTTATCTATAATAGCTTATGTTTCCTCTTTGCTTTTTTGCTGTTATCAGGAAGTTCCAGTGTGTGTGTGTGTGGTTTTATGTTTTCTTAAATTGCTTCAGGATATCAGGGCGTACTGATGGACAGCAATGTGACGCTCTTTGCATCTCTCAGCAAAAATCACAGAGGTTCCGTTTATCTACAGTGTGTGTACAAATGCTAACACGACAGAGACAGCAGAGACGAGCCAGCCAGGGAAATATTTCAGTATACTTCACATCAGTCTCAGCAGATTTTTTGATAGGATGATACCAGTGTGACCGACAGCCTGTTACTGTATATACAACCATATTTGTTCAATTAAATGCATTAAAAGGGTTTATGTGCAATTAAGCTAGTAATTCCATTATAGATCTGTTATAGATCTGACAAAAATCACTCTGGTTTGGTAGAATAACAGTTTTAATCTTCTTTTGTGAAGCCGAATGAAGCTGCAAAACAGATTAGAAGGTTACAGTAATGGTGATTAATAATTCAATAAAAAAACACAAATACCAGAGGGAGAGGGGAATAAAATCAGAACACATATCCAATTCACTAAAAATGAGATTCTAGCAAATGCAAAGCAAACATTTAGAGAAAAGAAATCAGGCAAGCCATATTAACAAGGAGACACTTCACCCACAATGCAAAGAGAAACAGATGGAGCCGAGCCCTCATCAGTTCAACTGTTTAAATCCCAGCTGATACACACAAACAAACGCATGCCTCATTGTGCATACTCACATCAATCATATCCGAAACATCGTGGATGTAATATTTCGCCACAACGGCGTTGGTGGCTGTCAGGTTCAATAAATAGTCGTTGCGGGCTTTAGTGCATTTCAGTTTGTTCTCGGAGTACTTGGCTTGCCTCTGGAAAAGGGAAACAAAATGGAGAAGAAATCAGTTAACATAATAAATATTAACTGATTTAATATTCCAATCTACAATTGGAATATAACTGGAAATTCAAAAATGTATTTCCACATGATCAAACTAGTAATTGATAATCCTATATGGAGTAAGTTCTCACTATAACAACTTGACATAGATTTAAGAGGAATGTCTTTGCTTGAAATATATAACATTATCTGAGGTTAAAAAAGCCATTATTTACAGCATTTGTATATTTAAAATTAATTAAAGACTTAAGTGTTTTCAGCTTTTAACAATTCATGACACAAGAAAAAACATTTTAAAAGTCGATATACAACAATATCAAACCATTATTATAGCCTACCGAAATTGTAATAAATGACATGAAATATTTTGAAACATAAAACACGTTACTTGCCCAAACACAAATGTGACAACTTGCCCCAACCTGATATTTACAAAAAAATATGCTTGACCTGAGAACACAGGGCAAATTTTTGGGTTAAATTTACCTTCACAAATGTAGCTTACCTTGTGGCTATTATAAAAGTATGATACATTTTCCATGCTTTTATTTTAATTTGGAGGATAGAATTCTGATGATTAGAAGACTGATTACCTTTTATTTACATTTTGTATTTGGCAGACACATTTATCCAAAGTGACTTGCATAGCATCCATGGCATACATTTTATCAGTCTTGCTTTACCTGGGAATCAAACCCATGACCTTGGGGCTGCTAGCACCATGCACTACTGATTGAGCTGCAGAAAATCTTACAGAGATACCGTTACTGAGATAAGCCTTGTGACAACTGTCCCTTGAGGAAACTAGCCTCAGTCGCCACTATATACTAAATTATTATTACATAGTTTATTCAATATTATTATTATTTTTATGATCGAGATTACACCCCCCCCCCCTCCCCTTGCCTTTTTTTTATTTTTTTATAAAATCAAAAAG